TTTCTTTCTTTCTTTCTTTCTTTCTTTCTCTTTCTTTCTTTCTTTCTTTCTTTCTTTCTTTCTTTCTTTCTTTCTTTCTTTCTTTCTTTCTTCCTTTTCTTTCTTTCCTCCTTTCTTTCTTTCTTTCTTTCTTTCTTTCTTTCTTTCTTTCTTTCTTTCTTTCTTTCTCTTTTTCTTTCTTTCTTCCTTCCTTCCTTTTTTCTTTCTCTTTCTCTCTTTTTCTTTCTTTCTTTCTTTTTTTCTTCCTTCCTTCCTTCCTTTCTTCCTCCCTCCCTCCCTCCTTCCTTACTTTCTTTCTTTTTTTTGTTTTTGTTTTTTGAGACAAGGTTTCTCTGTGTAGCTTTGGAGCCTGTCCTGGAGCTTGCTCTGTGGACCAGGCTGGCCTTGCACTCACAGAGATCCACCTGGCTCTGCCCCCCAAGTGCTGGGATTAAAGGCGTGCACCACCGCTGCCTGGCCTGAGAATTCCTTTTCATAGTGTTAGGGTGTGTCTGCCTCTTGCTGAATCACGTCCTGGCTTAAACATGGAATGGATGACTTATATTCGCCACAGCCTAGATTCTTTTTGTATGTGAAGGGCATTAGCTATAGGATAGGGCATGGAGAATCCAGAATCAAGAGACTGTGTTTTCGTACAATGAATCCTGAGCAGAAGCTCAACAACCAGGATCTTAGTGCTAAATTTTAACATCTTAAGAGCTTGTGGGCATTTTTTAAAAAAACAGCAGTTGCTGGTGAAAAGTTAGTCTCATTTCCCTTTTCTTGGCCACTTATGTCTCCTAATAATTAAAAAGACCAGTGGATGCTGTCTGCTGGGCCTTGCAAGTGTCCTGTTTGCATAGCACACTTTTAGCCATTCATTATTTGGAGCTAATTTATCTAGTCACCATGGTGCATTTAATGCTGGAGCATGCACATTTCACTTTGGGGCCAGAACATGGACTCTTTTTACTTATTCACCTAATCATAGTTAAGCCAGGTTATGGGCAAGGCCTGCTTTATCCCAAAATGCTTCTTTCATGCTATAAACGCACATCTCTATTTCCCCAGTAATTTCCATTATGCTTATTCCTCTAAATTTTGGTAATTTCCCCCTATGAAGATGATTCTGATTCAAATATTTTGTGATGCAGCAATAAGGATTTCAGTCTGTGGTGGATCAAACTAGGACTAAGTCCAAGGGAGCTGATTTACTTGACCAAAATCACCTCAACTAATAGCAGATTCAAGTCTAATCATCCTACAGAGACTTGCCACCCAAGAGAATATGAAATATTCCATGGATAATAAATTAATTACATTCTGGCCAATGTCTGGTCCTGTGCTTCACTGGAAGATTTTTATGGATACAAAAAAGCAAATATCCTCTAGATTTTATTATATGTAATCTGTGACGCCACAGAGCGTTTCAAATCTAAAAATACTATGCATTTAAAGCTGCCACAGTTTTCTTACTGGCATGAAAGTGTTTGACAGGAAAGGATGGAGATCGCTACAAATATGAAGCCCCATGTGTTCTACCAAGTACATGGGATTGCGTTTTTGGTGAGTCCTCTTAGAGTCACTTTTTCTCTATGTTCCCTCAATTTACAAAAGGGCATGGTTAAAGAACGCCTAGAGTCACCTTGACATCATAGAGCTCATCCGCCCAGCATCTCCTGCTAAAGGTCAGTGTGCATTCCTCACACCTGGCTGTGCTCTGTGCTGCTGTCAGGACAGTGTCCCTATAACTGACAAACAGGAGAAGATGAACTAGGAAAAGGAGGCTGGGAAGGAAGATAGATTGATTTTTCGTTTATCATGTGATACATTCTGCAGCAGTCAACACCACTATCTCTTAAATAAACCTTTGAGGCGGGAACAGAAAATGTTCCGTGAGAAAGCCTTATGAACGGAGACTGTTCCCCTGCTGTGGGTGACTGTACCTTGGGGGAGCCTGCATGCTCTTTCTCTGTATTCAGTGAGAGTGTAAGGACTGATGATCTGATTTAGTGAGTTCGTTACAGAGATGGCACTGGCATCTGTTACTTCTCTTCTGTGATCCAGGAGATATTTGATGAACTGCTGAGATATGGACATGAAGGGGATCCATGGTGGGCCGTGAAGTCTATCACACAGCTAAGTCTCTATTACCCCTTCACTTCGCCTGCTTCTCTGTTTCCAGATATCTGGCAGACTTGCAGTTGGGGACATCACCTCAGGGACAGGAGAGGCTCCATTTATTCCAAGAATAATTGTGTGTTTGTGCATGTGTGGACATGCACATTATAATAGCCTGTCAATAAAAATGCTGAACCAAAAGGTGGTTTATCATTTTCGGGAATAATTAAGAATAAGTCTCTCCTTCTCAAAAACAAAACAAAACAAAACAAAACAAAACAAAAAACAAAAAACATGCATTATTAGATCAACTGCAAAATGAAATTAAGAGAATTTTTATTTCTAAATATTAACACAATACATAGTTTATGCACAATGGTAGCAGAAAAGAGGGACTGCCTTGTATACATTCACAGCTAGAGTTATATGCAGAAACACCAGGTAAAAATAAAAACTTCAATTTTTTTTAGTAACCAGTAAGTTATGAGATAACATTTCCCTTAATGGTAAACATTTTCGGTAAGCCCAAGTACTAGAATGCATTAATCTGAGATGCAGTTATGTATTTCATTTTGACCGGGCTCATCATTCCAGGTTATAAAAGAAGGCAAGTGTCCTTTGCATGGATTTTACTGAAATAGAGGCCATTGCCAAAAGTAACTGTAGAAAGGGTCTAGTAGCTGAAAGGACTGTAAGACCCTGAGGAGTAAGAGAATTAAGACTCACAGGCTGTAGAGTGTCTGCAACTTATCCCCTTTTTTTCTTTCTCATTTTCAGTTCAACATTTCTCTCTAAACTAGAAACATTACAAAGCTTCTAAACTCGAGCTTCCAAGGTGGCTCAGTGGGTCAAAGTGCTTGCTGGGGAAGCCTGATGATTTGAGTTCAATCCATGAGACTCACAGCAGAAGGGGGAAACCTACTCCCAAAAGTTGTTCTGACTTCTACAGCCACATCATGGCACCCACATGCCTACACATACACACCTTTAAAAAAGGAATTTCTACACTTTGTATTTGTAAATATTTATGAGATGCAGTCAACTATGGAAAACCCAAAGCAGAAAGAGATGATAATGTTAATTATAAAACATAAGAACTAACTAACCAGGTACATTATGGAAGAAAATGGAACCATTGGCTAAGAATAACCTGAAGAGCACCTAGGAAAATGACCCTGTCATCCAGTAGTTGTCCTTTCAAAACGACTTAGACCAGCTCCAACTAGACTTTGACTTTGGATGGGGTCCAGAAAGTGGAAGAACTCAAACAACAGTAACAGAAAGGCCCCAAACAAGACCAACCAACAAACCAATCGACCAAAAGAGATAAAGAACCTGGAGGCACATGGCTAAGCATTAGGTTTCTTTGGCAGCACAATCTACCAAGAGAACAAAGTCCGCCTTCTGTTTCTCTCTGCCGATAGAGAGATGGTTTGCTGTGGTCCAGCAACCGGGTCTACAAGGCAGTCAAATCCACATGACTGTATACTAGTAACTGACTGAGCCTAAGTCCTCTTTACAGCCCAAAGCAGAAAGACTAAGTGCAGTGAGTGTTTTTGCCTCTGCAGAGATGCCGCTGCTGCAGCAATTATGGACTGTGTCTAGTAGCAAGAATGTGGGAGCTTATATCACACAAGGGTTATGATGGTGGACAGGCTGCTATAGTTTTAAGTAGAGTCAAACCTGAAACAAATATAAAAATGCACAGGAAAATAAAAAGAGAGTAAAATATAGATTTGAAAAACTCTAATGACCTTTTCGGAAGTAACTACATATTCCACCCTATGATCTCATAAATCAAAGCTTTCAGTTGTCTGGACTCATACGTGACTGTATTCTTCCCAATGTGCATTCTCTCTTCCTCCAAGGGCTGTTCTATAACAGCAGGAATATTTCTGCCAAAGATTTCACAGTGCTCTAGAAACTGGACACATTCTTGAATCACAGTGTCCCTCAGCATGATTGTATGTTTTGACATGTTTTCTAGCAAGGACAGGAAGCATCTTTTGGCATAATACCATGTATCAGTTCCCAGCTTTTTATGGTAAGGCTCCAGGCTTTTGATAACCCGAGAGATGCCAAAGTCATAGTTTCCCTTGGCACAATAGAGTGTTCC